AACGCTCTACAAAGGACAGTTTTTTATTGTCAAAATTACTATTTTTACTATTTAACAACACTCCGGTAAGAGGACACCTTTACATAAAGGACACTTTTGCTCTGTAATTAGGTGTATTTTACAGAGAGGTTTTACTGTATATATATATTTGCTGAAAGGTAAAACTTCCTCATATTTTGTCCATGGGTGTATATCAAAAATGAGAATTAAAAAGAAACTATTAGCTTTATATTTTATGAATATTTATGCTAGAATGTAAGATTATAAATAAACTTTGTATTGAGCTCGTGAAAAAAGATATTATGTCTTCAATTACGAAAGTTGCAATGACTCAATAGGTTTCTTTATGGAGAAAAAACAGCTCCTTCGTCAAAACCCGATACAAAATCAATGAACTATTTATTGATCAACTTTGCATTATCGACAACTCAGATCGATTATAAAGCCACAACAGCAGATTGTGCAATTTCTAAATATCCACTTGAAAATCATGGTTTCTGATATGCCCATCATTAATTATGACTGCTTCTATTTCCTGAGATCTAGAAGTAATTGGTCAAATCTTTCGAATTGACCGAAGAGTTGTTTAACTATTTAAGCATCTGAATAAATATTCGAGGGTTAGAATAGTTTCTGTGTAGAGGATAGATTCTCATTTGATATTCTCTTTGATCTTGTAAATATAACGACTTTACTAAGAGAAAGTCACATTCAAATAATTAAAAGATGTAATTTTTAAATTCTACAAAACTGAAAGCATAGAAGAAATGACCCACTACATCTCTGAATCCACTATTGTTAACGAGGAACGGAGTAAGATCCAAGTCTACGTGAACCCAGTTCAGCTAATCAGAATCCGAGAAAAAATATATAGCGATAGAATTGTTTAATTTCATAAAGCGTTAGAGAACAAGGTAGTCTCTTAGAACTAAAATTACAGAACAATTTCCTTCCATAGTTAATTTGTATAGTTATGTTGAATACTTTGATTTCCTTTCATTTTCACTTCTCTCCTTTGTTTATGTTTTTCCCCCTTTCTTCATGAAAATGATGTATGGCGAGTCCTTACAGGACGGAGATATTCTAATAAAGTTCGTTTTATGTATAAAAGAAACATTCGCGCCTTTAAATCCTTTTATTTTATATCTATAGATGGCGCGTTATTGCTTTGTGTTAAGGAAGTTTTTGTTGTAAATATAACACTATTAAGATTAACAATCCTATATTACACAAAAGGCAGTGATAAATTATCTTATACAAAGAGACAAAAATATATGTACAGACCAAGATATTTACAAAAAAAAAGAGATAAAGAAAATTAGAGCGGATTTAGAACAATCCTAATATCCAGTTGGCTTCATAAATAAATGGATTATAAGATATGAAATAGACCAAATTTGAATAAAACTACAGAAGGTTACAATAATATAATAATTCCATATATTAGACAAGTTGAGAGAGAATGAAACTTCATCTATCCTAAGTGTCTATTTTTTTACGAAATTGAATGCCGGCCAGAGGCAACCTCTATCTTCAAGATAATAAGACTACGTATAGTAAACCAGGAGAATTCCATAATCAACCAAATTTAATAATATCATATTGAACTACCAATTCTGAAGGAGTGAATTGAGATTAAAACAGCTTTCTTAAAACATTTATATAATATTATATTTTATAAAATAAATTTACTTTTAAAATATCGCGTTAAAAAGCGCATATACCATTAAATCCATTTGTAACGCCTTGCCAAAGTAGTTTTATTTTTAATTTTTCATGATGAGGACAAAGATATTTGAGTCTAAACGTCAAAAATATTTATAATAGATATATATATAAGGTCTAAATATAATCTATATTATACCTTTAAAATAATATACAGTAGAACCTTCATGAGTGGACACTCCAATTAGAAGATAGACACATTCTAGAAAGGACAATTTACAACTTCAAAATGACCATTTTTACTCTATAGCAACTCTAAGGTGAGAGGACACGTTTCTATAAAGACACTTTAGATCTCAAAATAGATGTTGTCCCTTCGAAGAGAAGTTCTATAATAAATAAAATGATATATATATTATATTAAAATATTATTTAATTTAAAATTATATTTCATTGATTCAAATATTCTGTTCATATCTACCACCAGGGACTTCCCCTATAAAAACTCATTGTTGTTGTTTCCCGATGGCCAGCTCAAACCATTTGTACATTATGTAAATAATCTTTTGTTTTCCTTGTTCTACTCGCCTTAAGACAGGCATTACTTTTATCAAATTATGTATTATATATATCCCATAAGCTCAATTAAAGCTATTTCTAATCTTCATTATTTTTATTATCATAGTTTCAAGATTTTAACCACGACTGCATTAACATAGCCTAATCCTCAAGAAACCCAAAATCAAGCAGAAAATATCTTTAGTTTTTATATCATATATACTGAATATACAATGTCTACATACAGACCTTCTAGTGATGGTCTTATTAGAATAAGGACCCTTAAATAGTGATAATAAATTGTTCAGTAAAATCTACTTTCGAATTAAAGACGGTCCATTAACAGATTATCTATTGCAGCCCAGACTAAATCCGTAGAGAGAACCTTGTCTCAGAGAAATAGATTATAAGATGAAATCAATATACACAGCCCAGGTTGTCTTAAAAGATAACTTAGGGGATATCAGCAAAATGGTTCTGAATACCTCAAACTTACTCTTTAGACAACTAATTCTATATTTATGAAATTTAAACATCATTTTTTAGCGCGATGGTTTCTTCAAATTATACAATTTCAGAATATCCTTGCAATGAGAAAGCTCTGTCGAATCCACTAAGAGGTTTCAGCACTGTGATGAGCCAATCTCTCTCAAAATTTTGATCAAAATGAGGACAGCAAGAAGTTGCTATAATTCGTTTCTTTATCAAATTCAACCATTTTTTCGATGACTATGTTAATTTAAGCTTTTTTGACTATATTTAAATATATTATTTACTTTCTGTTATTAGTATTTTCTTTTTTAATACTAGGAAATATAGAGAAATTCTCTCTGTATGCTATTCATTAATGATGAGAATCTTTCTTTAGATGTTAGCTAGTTCTGTTAAGTTTGCTTTACAGAAAGCTAGAGATCTCATGAAACTAATTTTATATACTTTTAGATTGAATTGATACAAGATAAGATTGACATCAATAGAATCAATCTGTAAAACGAAATTTGACAATTATACCGCAAAAGTTTCTTTTGAACGAAAAATCGAATTTTATTTTAAGGAGAAAAAACGATTATTTCTAACCTTAGGGATGAAGTATTAAAGGATTAATTGTGAAGAGTAATGATAAACGGAAAAATAAAGTGTCCAGGGATGGGAATCGAACCCACAGTTTTTCGTTCAAAAGAAACATTTGCGGTATAAATGTCAAATTTCGTTTTACAATCATAGGCCGCATTATATTTTATTAAGAATCAATTTGATTAATCAAAATGTAATTTCAGAATATATCAAAGCAATATAAGATTGAATGGTTAGACAGTCGGTCTCACTATATGTGACATTTTACAGAGGGTCGCGACATGCGAGAAAAAATAAACACGTGAAATCATCATCACAAGACGGAGTTTTTATTATAATTGATAAAATAAATGAAGGAAATGATCATAGAGCGTATAATGGGGAGATAGAAGGAATTATGGGGTGAAGAGGAATGGTCTGAGATAAAGTAGAAGGAGTTCTGATAACAGAGTAATAAACAGGGAAAGGATTATGTTTATGGGCTCATTGCAATACAATAGCCCAGCGAAACCACATAACCCTTAGTATCTTCCACTCTTCTTTCTTTACCACATCCCCATGGTAGTTTATTAATTGATCTCTACTAATCATTGTTTCCCGACCGATGCATTTTGTGGGCTTGAAAATTATATACTTTGTTTAGTAGTCCGTAATTTCAAATTCTCTTTCTAACAATCGAATCAGGTTTAAATCCATTATTATATAGGCATTCCTATAAATTTAACTTTTTTGGTGTAAAAAAGTGTATCACGTTCAATTAGTCATGCGATATTGAAAAAAATATATATATTGTTGACAAAAAATTATATATTAGAAGAGAATGAAGCCTGATAATTACGAAGATCCTCTATTCCTTAAAGCTATTTTTATAAATAATAAGGAAAGACAATGGTAGTTTATTAATAGATCTCTAATAATCATTGGTTCCCGCCCGATGCATTTTCTGGGCTCGAAAATCATATACTTTGATTAGTATCCTGTAAAACCATTTTCTCTCTCAAACAATCGAATAGGTTAAATCCATCAATGTATAGGTATTTATATCAATTTCACGTTGTTGTTTTTTTTTTGTGTCAAAAAAAAAAACGCGTATCACTCGCAATTAGTCATGTAAAATTGTAAAAATATATAATGTTGGCAAATATATATATATATATATTCGTAGAAGAGATAAAGAAGGCTGATAATTACAAAGATCCTAAATTACTTTGTAATTATCAGCCTTCTTTATCTCTTCTACGAATATCGAATATATATATATATATTTTTGCCAACATTATATATTTTTACAATTTTACATGACTAATTGCGAGTGATACGCGTTTTTTTTTTGACACAAAAAAACAACAACGTGAAATTGATATGAATACCTATACATTAATGGATTCAACCTATTCGACCTATTCAACCTATTACTTAAAGGTATTTATAAGCAATAAGGAAGGACGATAGATTAAAGAAATTAAACTTGACGAAATTATGTACATACCAGCAGCTCACGCCTATCAGCGGCTTGTTCTATCCAATATCCGCTAGCCAACTACAACAATCTAACAAAGCTGAGATATATAGGCTGAGATGCAATTAGCATAAACAATTTTACAAAAAAATAGTCTTCTTCTTTCTTATCTCCACTCAATCATATTAGGGTATCAAGTTGTGAACCTTGATAGTGTCTGTTTGACAACCATCATGAAGGTGATAGCCTACAGTACCCGGTGTACCCAGGTGGTCACCCTCCCAAGTACTGCCCGGGCCTGACATTGCTTAAATTCGGTGATCGGATGAGAACCGGTCTTTTTTCAATGTGGTATGGCCGTAGGCTCACACAAAAAATAGTAAATCACAAGAGTATTATATCGTAAAAATATCCCGACAATGCCTCTCTTTCATCATATATATTTTATTAAACAATTATTTTATTTTAAAATATGATTTCTAGAACAAACTCTGTAAAATCGATCGCCAGGTTACGTGGCTTTTCTTAGATTAACAAAATTGCCTCTGTCTCCTTAAAAAAAAACATACCACCAGCGAGATATCAAAGATTTGTAAACCTATATACAAGGTATGTCCCATAAGTTCCCGGACTGGGTCCATAAAAAAAAGGTAAGATTTTTTTTTATTTTTTTATTAAAACTTTTCAAAGTAATCCCCCCTTGCTTCAACGCACCAGCGCCATCGTTTCTCCCAATTGTCGAAACAGTTTTTATAAGCCTCTTTTGGAATGCTCTTCAATGCTAACGGCGATTTTTCTATTATGTCATCCCTGGTGTCAAAATGTCTTCCTTTTAGAACTGCTTTAAGTTTGGGGAACAGGAAAAAATCATTTGGTGCGATGTCTGGGAAATAGGGTGGTTGAAGTAGGATTTGTGTCCTGCTTTTCGCCAAAAAGCTAGTCATCAAGTGCGCTGTGTGAGGGCGAGCATTGTCATGGTGTAGGATCCAGCCACCATTAGTCCATTTTTCTGGCCTTTTTTTCCGAATCGCTTCCCTTAGACGGCGAAGAATGCCCAAATACATTTCCTTAATAACTGTTTGGCCTGCAGGATGATACTCGTGATGAACAATGCCCTTGTTATCCGAAAAAGCGACCAGCAACACCTTGTTTCTGGATTTTTTGGGTCTAGGCTCACCCTAACCTCTCCACTCGGCAGATTGAGGTTTGGTTTCAGGGTCATAGCCATAGACCCATGTTTCGTCGCCTGTGATTATCTTGTCTTTCCATTCTGGATCCGTTCTTGTTATCTCCATCATGTCCTCACAGGTTGCAAGCCGACACAGTTTTTGCTCATTGGTGAGGAATCTTGGGATGAATTTTGCAGGAGTCTTTTTGAGCTTCAAATCTTCGGTTACGATCCTTCCAATCGTTGTTTTAGAGATGCCTGTGTCTTGCTCTAGCTCCAGCAAAGTGGTTCGAGGATTTTCTTTTTTCAAATCGGCGATATTTTGCACATTTTCATCAGTCCTTTGAAATTTTGGGCGTCCTTGACGAGGATCATCTTCAATGGAAATTCTGCCAGCTTTAAATCTAGAATGCCATTCAAAAACAGTTGTTCTCTTTGGGGCGTCATTGGGGAATGCTTTATTAAGCATTTCAAAAGTTTCGGTTGCTGATATTTGAAGTTTCACACAAAATTCTATGCAAATCCTCTGCTTCAATTTTTGTTCCATCGTAAAATCGCCGCAGCGCTAGGTGTGACTTTAAATAAATTAGAATAATCTTGGCGCGCGCGCAAGTACCGCCTCGATATTGGTACCACCGTGTAGCCAGATATTTTTTCTATAATAAACACTCAAATTCATTTAAATTTTTCATTCATTTATTTTTTTATGGACCCAGTCCGGCAACTTATGGGACATACCTTGTAAAAAGGTATTTGGCAAGTTTAGAGCTATTTGTATACAGATTTATAAAAATCACTACAAATTCATCGTGTAAATAATTAAATATATATATGTAAATAATTCTAATATAGCACAATAGTCTGATAGACTTCGTGCTTCTGTAATATTAAAATAAAAAAGGGTCTTGTCTATAACAATTATAGGTTGTTAAAAATAGTACAAAGGAGTAATATTGTACTAGTATAGGGTGAATAAATTAAGAATAAAAACATCTCTTGATCGTACAACTAAAGGTTGATAATATCTTTCTCCATTTGTCTGAATCTAATCAACGATTAGTTGATATTTATTCTGACAGATGGCGCAAGCCATCAACAAATTTAAGTTGCGCGATTAGGAGAAGTCTTTTGACTTAATTTATAGGTTGATAAGGAGGTTCCGGGACATATTTCTATGTTGATTTCGAGTCTCTCGGTGAGCAATAAATATATTCACAGATAATACTTTATTATAAATTTTATTTTTAATTTACGAATCTTTCAAATATATTTTATAATTTTATTCTGAAATTCTGACGATCATTTTAAAAAGGTTTATATATATATATATATGTTATATAAAAAATGTTTTCAAATATATTTCATAGATTAAATGACTCTGTTAAATTGACCGCCAGAGGTCGCTGTTTTCCCTATAAAAACTCATTGTTGTTGTTTACCGTTGGCCGGCTCAAATCTTTTGTACATTATGTAAATAATCTTTTGTTTTCCTTGTTCTACTCGCCTTAAGCCAGGCAGTATTTTTAGCAAATTATGTTTTTCATATATATTCTTTAGCTCAAATAAAGAAATCACTGATCAAAACTCTTTTAAATATTTTTGCCACGACTGCATTACCATAATCCTCAACATGATCTAAATTCAAGCAGAAAATCTCTCTTTTCTTTTTATAACATATATATTACCGTTAAGAGAATTTCAAAATTTATAAATTTGTTATTTAATTTAAACATATAAGATTTGTTCTATATATATAATAAATATAGGTAGACAACATATAATATTAAAAAATATTCTCTTAACGGTATTATTCGATACAGAATTAGCTTGCTGTTCTGTCTCAATGTTATATTTAAAATCTGTATTTCTTAATTTATTATATTTTACTTTACTCTTCTGTTCCAAATTCTTTTACTTTTAATATAAATATTTAGAATTGTATACATATTATATGATTATATGCTATACTGACATTATACATTCAATACATCATTTTTCTATAACTTTCTTTAAATATTATAAAACTATTATATATTTATATTTGATAAAACACTTTTTTAAATACGAATATGAAATATTCATGTTGATCAAATATCATATTTGTGTTTTCCACATATTTAAATATCGAAATTTTAATAAAATTAGTGTCCTATGTTATAATCATAATAAGAGAAATGTATAGTAAAAATAAAATAATATATTTGTGAAAGATAGAAAGTCAAACAGGAAAAGACGTCAACAAAATTGGAAATTCAATAAATATTTTATTAGAAGGGTCTACAGATCCTTTACCCACTATTTTTATTCTCTACCTACATACTGTACACGATGCTTTAATTTATCTTATAAATATATATATATGTTATATAAAATATATTAATTTATTTAAAATTATATTTCATTGATTCAAATACTCTGTTAAATTGACCGCCAGAGGTCACACTTCCCCTATAAAAACTCATTGTTGTTGTTTCCCTATGGCCGGCTCAAATCTTTTGTACATTATGTAAATAAGTTTTCCATTTTTTTTTATTCTTACGCCTTAAGCCAGGCAGTACTTTAATCAAATTATGTTTTTTTTATATATTCTATAAGTTCAATTACTAAAGCAATATCTGATCAAAACTATTTTTATTATTATTATTTCAAGATTTTTAACCACGACTGTATTAACATAGTATAATCCTCAAGATGATAACAAATAAGCAAAAATCTATTTTTTTTAATATAACATTCTCTTATTCTTATTATATTCTCTAGAACAATTTCTGTGAAGTCGTCTGATAGATATCGCTGCTCTACATTATATAAATTCATTGTTGCTTTCTTTTTGTTGAAAGTGACAATTCCAGACGTTTCTACGATAGAATACTCTTGAGATTTGCATAACGTTCCAGTATTTTCTATGTTAATTGACCTCTCTGCCTATATAGCACAGCTTTGTTGGTTTGTTTAGTTGGCTAGTGGTTATTTGATAGGACAGGCCGGCGTGATCTGCTGATGTACATATAATTTTATCTCTTTTATCCTTCTTTTATTATGTTATACTAGACGAATGGCCCGGGCAACGCCCGGGTTTTACCCGAGTGCGAATATATTTTAAAAACGTTGTCTTGGGTGGTCGCTATAGACAGGGTGGTCTGTATAGTCAGGTGTATGTATCACACAGCCGATAACAGGGTTGTCTAGAGTGGCCGCTATAGACAGGGTGGTCTGTATAGACAGGTGAATGTAACACACTGATGATAACAGGGTTGCCTAGAGTGACCGCTATAGACAGGGTGGTCTGTATAGACAGGTGGATGTATCACACAGCTGATAACAGGGTTATCTAGAATGGCCGCTATAAATTATATAAATTATATGAATTCATTGTTGTTTTCTTTTTGTTGAAAGTGACAATTCCAGACGTTTCTACGATAGAATACTCTTGAGATTTGCATAACGTTCCAGTATTTTCTATGTTAATTGACCTCTCTGCCTATATAGCACAGCTTTGTTGGTTTGTTTAGTTGGCTAGTGGTTATTTGATAGGACAGGCCGGCGTGATCTGCTGATGTACATATAATTTTATCTCTTTTGTCCTTCTTTTATTATGTTATATCTTTAAGTAATAAAGGATCTTTCTCTTCCTCTATGAATCAATATTTTTCCCACAAATATTGGTCGGCACAAACCTTTTTGTAAATATGTCAATACGTAATCAAGTATTTTGTTTTCTTTTACTTCATTCACGTCTTAAAACAGATATTCCATCTTTTAATTATTTTATCTGCTCAATTAAAGAAAATAGTGATTTAAAGTTGTTTTATTGTATTTTCAAAGATGTCACGACTGCATAACAATAGCAAAATACTCGTGTATACAAAACAAGCAAATAATTTATATCGAAAAAATATTATAATACATAAACACTATAAAGGAATGACAATACATCCAGATGGCACAAAAACCTATAGGACAACTGTCCTGGTGTGAAACTAACACTTACCCACATATTCTCATGCCCAGCAATGGCCGCAGCCTTGCAGAAAATTGACATGGATCCAGAGCAGCAGCTTTACACACCCAAGATAGTGGACATTGCTGCTGCTGTGATAGAGATGTATGGATACCTCTGAGGCTCTTCATTGGACATGACAACAACAGCAAAATTATAATACATATCTTTGTTTTGAAGATCATTTGTTGGT